CAACAACACTTCCTCCCTCCGATCGCCACCCTAACTCCACAAGGTAAACTAGATCGAAAACTCCTACCCTTTTATTTTACATTTTTTTATCCTATCGACCGAAACCTAAGGTCACTCAAATCACTCCTCCCACACGTGGGCCGGTCCCTGACCAAAAATCGACACCACTCTCCTCTGTACACCATCCATGGTGACCTAAAGAACCGACCCCAAAGGTAAAACACTATTTTCTCATTTTTTTAGTTTTGTTTCGAAACTTATTTTTACTAAACTAATCTCAACCCATCTTCTAAAACAATGCAACCCTAACCGAGATAGAACAGAGTCACCGAGACTCCATCCGCGTTTGTACAGGCCAAGTAAATCATCCATAAACCCCTCTTGTTTATTTCGAAATCACCCACTCACACACCCACACAGACCACACACTGGAGATTAAAATGAATTTTAATACCTCAAGAAATTGCTACGATTTTTGTGAATGGTTGGTATCTTCCTTCGAATGGAAGAGTGAAATAAAGAGAAACTTCCTTTTAATTGCTTCGAAAATGATGGTCGAGAGACCTTTACAAACTGTTTTTCCTCTTTGAATGGTTACTCCTCTTTTGCTGATGTCTTCTCCAGTTATGGTTCTAGTTTTAGTGTGACAAATTTTCTTGTTCGAATCCTCTCTGGTTCCTCTTTTTTGTGATGTCTTCTTCTTTCTCCTTCCTTCTCTGTTCGTGAGTTTTCTCCCCTTTTTAGCTTTCCAGTCTCCACCGAATTCTTTGTCCTTGCTGTTTCTTTTCTCTGCATTTGGTGAGATAATAACAAGTTTAGGTGAAATCATCCTGTGATTTTCGGGTTAGGTGTTTTCTTGACTTTGGTTTGATTTTTTTTTTGTGCAGTATGCTTCTATGGTGGCACGATTGGCGGCAGTGATTTGGCTTGAGCTAGTGTCAAATTTGCTGCAGGTTTCACGTGAAAGGCATGAGTGGTGGCAGCATCTAAAAGAGTCAATTTTGGATCCGAGTCTTGTATTTGGGTTGCAAAATAAAATAAACAATATTAATAATATAATAATAATAATTATTATATCCCGGTCAAAACATATGTCTACGTATTATTTTTGCAAGAGCTCACCGAGGTATATTGGCTAGCTGTCAAGCAAATTTTACGTTATCTACGAGGAACATTAGAGGCTGGTCTTTAGTTTTCAGCTCAAGTACAAAGAATGATGGTACTTAATGCTTTCTCAGATTTTGATTGGGGTGTAGATGCTGATGACAAAAGATCAATATATGGGTACTGTTAAAATGGGAGTCATCTACTGGCATGGATTTTGAAAAAAAAGCGGGCAATATCTAGATCCATTGCAGAAGCTGAGTACAGGAGTCTTGCTGATGTTACATCTGAGGTTGTATGGGTAAAGGTTGTTCTACATGAAATGGAAGTTGCTTTGCCTGAAGAGCCTGAAGTTTGGTGTGATAACACTAATGCGGTTGTTATGGCTGCAAACCCTATTTTACATGAAAAGAGCAAACATATTGAGCTAGATTTACACTTTGTGTGAAAAAAGGTTGCAACACATGAAGTCCAAGTCAACTATGTTCCAACTAACAGCCAGGTTGCAGATATTTTAACAAAACCTCTTCCCTTGGTCAAGTTTGAATTGTTTAGGAGCAAGCTGTGTGTTTTGAATTTAATGAAATTTGTAAGAAGAAGGGTGAATGTTAAAACTATATCTGGTTAGGCAGTTAGATTCATGTGGCTAAGTAGTTAGTTGGTTATGCTGTTGCAACAGCTCTTTAGTGGTTAAGCAAGCTCATGTTAAGCTCTTTAAATAGCATTCATTTCTTGTATATGATACATTGCTTGAAATACAACTGATGCATACTTCAGTATACTTTCTCTCTGTTTAACAATGTGGTGAGACATTTTTTTTTTCTATTGAGGTACGTTAAATTCTGGATAACTATTCCCACATCAATGTGTACTACATCCGACGTTCGGCCAATGCTACTGCTCGTGCTTTAGCTCAATGGTTGTTGTCCACATCTGTCTCAGTTGAGTTTTCAGAATTCATTTCCGCTAATGTACTCCAAGACGTTATTTCTTATTAATGCAAATTCGTATTCCTTTAAAAAAAAATTATAAGGGCAAGAATGGAGGTAACACATCCCGAAGAACACATCAAATTCAGTTGGATCAGTTGTTAATCAAAGTAAATGTTTTTATATTGACATGCACGATTGAATTAGTAGTTGTGGATGGCTATGATACTCATATTATATTATTTTTATTAAATAGTATGGGTGATTATAAGTAGTATATGCTCAAACTTTCTTAACCGATTAACAACACATCCCCTACAGACACAACTGCTCGAACCCGATAACACAAAGGAAAACAACACTCACCTTTACTGTTGAGCTAACTTAATGAATTATACGATACTCATATTATCATATTATATTTTTGGAACCTTTTCTACTTTAATTCCTATGTCAATTAACACATTATGGGCCAACTATCTAACAGATCACATGCAGCTGGAGCCTAACTAACGGTAATAGAAATCAGTTAAAGACCCTTGTGCAGAAACATGTCGAATCCGGTTGGATCGACAGTCACTCCGGCATGCAGAGACTCTTGTGCAGTGTTTGGAAAAACGCAAGGCCTTTAAATTGGACATAAAATGGTGAAAAGTCTGCAATCCAAATTCGGATGATACGGCGAAATGTTGAATGCAAATTCTTTTGGAAATGTAAAAAAAGTTGCAAATTGTTCATATCCATTATAGATCTGTTGAAGAAATACAACACGTTACATTACTTAATTCAGTGTCATCAACAGCAACAAATGATGTGATCTAAAGAATCAGACTAAGCAAGTTGAAGACATTGGTAAATCTAAATGAGCTTGTAATAGCAGTTGTTTCCAAAGAGAAGTATTTTATAGCCTTTGCCGCAGGGACACTTGAAATAAAGGTCCAAGCATTCCCCAATCTTCTCCACTTTCACAGATTCTTCACAATCTACATCATCCTTACCCTACATCAACAATCTTAACATATTAACACCATGAAATCAAAAATTTGTTTTTTGTTATACCATTTTCTTGGAAACCAAACAGAAACTAGAAAGTAACCTTTGGCTCTGAGAGTGCATCTTAAACTTCTTTTATAGTTTCACCCCACCAATTGTTCATTTCTTTCACCCTCTCCTTCATTCTTTTCAATTTCTGCCAACAAAACCTCAAGATTATTCATTTAAAGAAACACATGAAAAGAGTTCCAAGAAGAAGAAAACAAATAAAACCCACCTTGGCACTGGGACTCTCTTCCTGTATCAATTCCACACACGTTTCTTGTGGGCTTGAATTCCTCGACAAGGGCTTATAGGGAGAGAAAATGGGATCAGATATCGACCTGATTAAATCACGGGGTTTGGGAGGCAATGAAGAAGAACCAGTTGCTTTTGACAATGAGGAATCTTCCAAGACCTTGGCTAGTTTTGTAGGCGTCAAAGGTTCAGAGATAGTGCGGTGAAGCTGTCGAAGTGGGATCTTGGAGAGGCCAGAGAGGGAGTAGGGATGATTCTCTACCAATGGCCTTTTCGATTTGGTGTCAGGAGAAGGGCGTTTCATTGGGTCGGAAGCAGCGAGATTGCATGCGCAGGTGGTGCATGAATGGCTGTTTTGGTGGGTGGTGTTCTTGAAGTTGTCGAGGTGGAGGAGGGATAAGTTGATGGAATCCTGGAGTTTATGATCATAATCTTCTTCTTATTCTTCATGGTGTTGAACTTCAAGCTTTGGTTCTTGATTCATTTCACCAATTATTGATTCTTCAAGCTCTTTAATCTTTGTTTTTTTACTTGAGAGTTGTGTTCTTAGTTGAATAGATGTGGGTTTATATAGAATGTTGTTTTAAGGATGATTCTTGAATTTTACTTATGGCATTATTTGAATACATAGTTATATGATAAAAAATAGCATAAGTAGGTTTGACCGAACTACATATAATCAAACATCTTATTTTTTATATTTAAATTGAGAGTAAATATTAGATCGAGTAAAATTGAGTAAAACTTTTAAGCTAACGAGTAATTTTTTAACATTTAAATTTTATTTAATTTTTTAATCAAATCGAGTTAAGTTAAATGTCGAAATATTTGAATTTTTATTTAAATTTAATTATAATTATGGTATATATTAGTTTCTATTTAACTACTTTCCTTAACTATATATATATATATATATATATATATATACTTTTTCATATTTTAATATTATTTAATAAATTAAATAGCATCTACAATTGTAAAATATATTTATTATTTTTTAAAATAATTTTTTTTGGAGATAAAATATTGATGAGGATATAAAGGAGTTAAGGAATTGATTAAAAAAATTTGCAAAAAAAATATAATAAAATATAAAATTGATGGACTAAATTGCAAAAAGAGTAAATTTATTGTTAAAAATAAGAATTGAAGTTACATGAATATTCTATGTGATAGATGAACATTTGATTCAAATTTAATAAATATTCTATTTTGAATTAGGGGTAAGAGGAATTAGGACAAAGTGTTTGATTAAGTTGAGTTGAATCGGGTTAAAAAATTTCGAATTACTCCAGTTGACAAATCATATTTTATCATTCAAACTTTATTTTTTTCCAAATCGAATCGAATTTTATTCATCCCTAATTTCGATCTAATTAAATAGAGTTAAAATTTGACTCAATTGAGTTGACAAATCATACTTTATCATTCAAATTTATTTAAAGATCAAAATTGATTTTTTTATACAATCGGATTTTACTCATCCCTAAGTTCAATCGAGTTAAAAATTTGGAATTAATCGAGTTGGTTTAAAGATCAAATCGATTTTTTTCGATACAATCGATTTTTACTCATCCCTAAATTCAAACTTCATTTAAATTTGTTTTGAATCGAGTCGAGTTTTCGAATCGAGTTTTACTCCTACTTTCAATATCAATAAATACTAAATTCAAAGCAACAGGTGAAACGTTATCTAGACAATCAGCTCCTTAACTGCATTTGGTGAACAACATTCTTATCCATCCGGAAGGCCTTGGCAAGAACATCAGGATCAATGGGAGGGTCTGAGCCGAACACTGCATCTGAAATGGCAATATCCCCTGGGTTTTGGCTATTGAAAGCAGCCAACGCCACTGCACAACTACTCCCTATGTTCTCCTGGAAATGAATCAACCCCGCAGGGAAAACAAACACATCTCCAGGGTTCAACTCTTTAGTGAAGAGACGGTTGTCGGGGCTCGACGTAACGAAGCCAACACGAAGCGTGCCTTCCAGAACGACCAGGATCTCGGTGGCACGAGAGTGGATGTGAGGAGGGTGTTGGCCACCTAAAGCTGAATAATCAATCCGTGCAATAGATATACCTAATGTGTTGAGCCCTGGTATTTGTTCATCATTGGCTAGTGTGACCACTGATCCTACTTGGTTTAATGGATCTCTCGGATTGTTAAACCCTGAAAGGAAGAAATCCTCTGGGGTTGCAAGGGTTGGGTCCTTGCAGAACTTGCCATTAACGAAACTGCATAATTGGAGAAAGAAAAGTTTTATGTGTCAAAATGAACATCTTTTTGAAGAAAACAAAGAACATACCACCATCTATGCCATTCTCATCATTAGTTGCTACACAGAAATCCTGAAGAGGGCTGGGATCTGAAGCTGAGACGAATGTCGAAGCTGAAGCCAACAGGACAAATGCTACAAGGAAATGAACACCTTCCATTGTTGTAAGGAGCAGTGTTGTTTGCTTGAAATTGGCTTGAAAGCTGGTGTATTTATAGAAGGGTTTTTGAACTGTGTTAGGGTGTACATGCATATCTCAGATGAAACCACAAGCATCGAAGATTCTTTTGCAATTTTTGCATGTGCAAAAACGATTTCTTGGATTTTTTTTACAATAAAATAGTGGAGAAAAAAAATGAAGGACAAAGTAAAACATCTCATTCCGACTGATCTCCACCCTATACTCCATGGATATGACCTCATTTTCTATGATTGGCTACTTAATATCAATTGAACACTATTTTGAATATTTATAATTGAGTTAAATACAATAATAAAAATATATTTCATCTTACTAGTTTTAAAGTAGATCAGTATCAACTGAATTTTATTTTTAAATATTATTTAAGTTTAAATAAAATAATAAAATTGTGTATTTGTATAGGAGAATTATGTTAAATTTTAAATATTTTAGGGTTTTAAGTCTTTTACTTCTGATATTGTGATGTTTACACTCGGAGAATTATGTTAAATTTTAAATTTTTTAGGGTTTTAAGTCTTTTACTTCTGATATTTTGATGTTTACACTCGGATATTAAATTTTCATTACTTAACAAAGAGGCTTCTGGGTACATGATCAAGCACCTTTCTTATTTATTATTTTCATTGACTAACTCGTATTTGACCCGTTAATTATTTCATATCTGATTCGTTGATTTATTCGTATCTGACCTATTGAATGATTTGTATATATTGATCATTGACCATTGACTTTAACTCATACTGATAGCTTTGATTTTGACCCATTTACTTTAGATTTCCAACTTGCTTCTTTTGTACGTCCTATTCTACATATTCTGAGTAAGTTAATATTGTCGAAACGATTTTCAAGTAAGGGGCGAGATTTTAAAAAAACCGCATCATTTTTTAATTATAATCTTTATAATTGATTTTAATTGAAAACAATACGATTTTAGAAAATTTCTCGTTTCGAAGAGTTTGAGATTTTATTTACAAATAAAAATGGTTCGAAGAGTCACCACTAATATTTGGTTAGGGTGTGATTGGATACTCAAAAACGTTTTGCCATTTTAAGTAAAAAAAATTAATTTTAATTAAAACAACAAATTTAGGTATGCGTTACCAGAAAATAAGTTCGGGAGTCGGTTACGCGTGGGGAATGATTAGCACTCTCACATCGCCCTAAATCGGTACCTAATCGATTAATTAATGTCTTTACACTGAATTTACAAATTCGATTTTAATTTGGTTTATGATCCCCAACAAAACAATAACATACGAATTAGAATATTCTAAAGCACCAAATTGATTAAATTAAAATTACCAAGTCTTTAGAAAGATAAAGAATATTCGATTATTTAAAAATATCGAGATCAGATCTTAAATGAGTTATAACAACATTTTCTCGATAAATTTAAATAGCCGAACATTTCTTTTCTTCCATTTCCAATTTTAAAGTGATAAATCAATTTCTTAAGTGTATTGATGAGATACACTTTTAATTTAAAATTGTTAGAAGCGGACCTCTAATAAGTTAAGAACCCACTTAGAACGTTTTAAACTAAAAGAATATTACCCTTAGTCAGATTATGTAATAATGCCGAGTTATACACATGAGGATATCATACATATTATGCAAAAGAATGTCATGCGAAGATTAATTAATCAAAATACTATTATTACCTAATCACTAAAAATTATCATGCAATAATATTTCAATATCAAAATTACATATCTTTTATAACTATGCATCATAATCTATATATATTAATATGTAATACATCCATGTGACTAAAATGAAGAGATGAAACAAAACACCTTAAGGAATATAGATTTTAGAAATCAAGTGAACTGTCTAAATTAAATACTAAATAAAAACAAAAAAAAATTCTATTTTGTTAACATAAAAATAATGGAAGTAAAAATAAGCATTAAACCATTTTAATTACCGAAACTAATATAAAATCACTATCGTCATAATATACTGAAACCAATTAACCCAAACATCTTCAAGACCAAAATATAACATGTAAAAAGTTAAAAGTTAAATGTCCAGAACAGCAAAAATTAAATTCCATAATATTTAGGACTAAATAAAATATGCATAAAATAAGGAAACTAAATTAAATACTAACACATTCGATTTAAGAACCAAAGTGAATTACAAATAAAATCTGAATGGCTTACAAAGGAATTAATCATTTAAATAAGGCTTAAACTAAAGATAAAAGCTTCTAATAATGACTAATATGAAAATACCCCTTAATTACATAAATTTCGTGTAACAACCCGGAAAAATTTAGAATAATATTAAATTGAAATTGGAGGTTAATTGTGAAAATTGGTAAATTTTGGGGACTAAATTAAAAGATTTTAAAACATGGAGCTTGTTTTAGAGTTAAATGAAATTCTGAGACCAAATCCTAAATTTATCCTAAAAGTGTCGACAGCTTTGGTGATTTAAGCATGTTTCTGGTTTCAAATTAGAAACCACAAATGTTAAATTGCTTAAGTTTCTCTCCTTCCGTACCCTTACTTCCAAGTCCGATTCTGAAGTCGTTCGACCTCCAATCGTAAAATTGAAACCACCGTCGTGTTCATCTTCGACCCGTGAACAAAACCCAGTAAATCAATTATAGCGAAACGCTGCCAAACGACGTGAATTTCGAGTCAAAGTCTCGACGTTTATTTAGCACTACCGTCGAGAAAATCTTAAATTCATCTCCGATCGTTGATCGGTTTTCGACACCTCCTACACCATCGTGTTCCTTGTGCCGTTTCGAGTCCGCCGGTGTCAACTTTGTTCGCCATCGACGGCTGCGCGTGAGGAGGTGGAACAGTCAAAGATTCGGCTGAGTTGAAATTCGAGCTCTCCGCCGTTCAAAAATTTGAACCGATCGTTGTAAGTATCTCGAAATCGCTCAAAATAATTTTTAGAAATTTTTCTGGAATTTTTAGGCCACCGGAGAAGTCCTCACGCGCCACACGCGCCGCCACAAGGAGAGTGAACTGCTGGAAAATCGGTTTGACCGGTTTTCAATCGGTTTTGACCGGTTTTCGATCGGTTCGAACCAGTTTGACCGGTCTAAACCGGTTTGACCGATCTGACCCGACCCGACCCTACTGACCCGACCCGACCGTTGACCGTTGACCGTTGACTTCCTTTGACCAAAACATAAAATAGCTTTGACCGAGCATTAAACGACCGTTAATCTTTTCCGAGTATACCTATCCTGATAGTTTTCGACGTCCCGAATCCGTTTCCACTGTCCGTTTTGTAAAATTCGAACCCGAAGGCCTCCAAATCGACGGTCAAAGTGGTTGACTTTGACTTTGACCAAGAATCCGAATTTTCGGAAAGTCATACCTTATGTTTTTCGATGTCCTGATTCCGATTCTGTAATTTGTTTGGTCAAATTCAGACTCAAAATACCCCAAATTGATAGTCAAACCCGAAAAATGCTTATATACTTAAGAATTCTAGCTTTGAACAATTAAATAAGATTTGAGGCTGATTAATTATTATTGTTTGAAGGTACAAGAGACTCTCCAGATCGTTCGACAGCTCGACCCAGCTCTTCTAGACCAGTTAAACCACGTGTGCCAGTATTCACCCGTAAGACCCGTAAATTTTATGATTTTAGAGATCTATTTATATTACTCATAAGTAATATAGTGTTATTGTAAAATATGTTCGAAAACTGTAGCAGAGCGTGGTGAAATCAGCAATCAGTAGATTTGCTATTTGAACCTATTGTTGAGGTGCGTTCCCTACTTATTACTGAACTGTTTTATTGGTTTTAATATGTGGTACTCCGAATTCATTGATTATTGTTTTATGGATGCACCAATTTAATGTGACAATTTATGGAATATGGCTGCTATCTAATTTTTGTTTTGAAATGGTATATGATTACCATGTTTTTGGATTTATGGAATTTATGTCACGGTGCAACTGAATTTTGGAATTGAATTACGATGGAATAGCTCTGATCAAGCTAAATGGGCCTAATGTGACTCTTGAGGGCCCCAAGATGTTTCATTAGGTCGGCTTTCCTTTGCTGTGTGCTTAGGGTAAGCTATATGGACTTATTGACTTGGGATTAAGGATACAAGCTTCATAGCCTATCCTTAAGTCGGCTTTCTTTTTGCTATGCGCATAAAGTAAGCTATATGGAAAATAATTTTGGGAACTACTGATGGTGTACCAGAAAAGGGTTTAAACTATGATTTTCAAAAGTTAAACTCTTTTACGAATTTGTACTGGATTATGATTTGTACCTATTGTGATTTTATGGAAATGTTGGGACACACTGAGCCTAGCTCACCTTTCAAAAATGTTTTCCCCCTTTTAGATACTGTTGGTTAGATACCTCGGTTCGAGCACTTGGAGGATCAACATATCTCTTGAAGTAAATCAGATTGTAATGTTTTTATTTTGCAAGTTGACTTTATTCTGGTGAGATGGACCTATTTTAAAGTATTGGATTTTATAATGATGATTCTTTTGCTATTACTATTTAGTTTATCATGGTTTTGATTTTTAAGATATGTTTTAAATTAATTTATTACTGATTGGTTTTATATTTAAGAGTTGAGTTTTAATAGTATAATTTATTATAATTTCATGTCATGAATAATGTGATTTTACATTGATTGGATAACGGTTTTGGAAAATGTCTTTGTGATCCACTAGACTTAGTCGAAACGCATAGGCCGGGTCTAGGGGGTAACATTTCGAACAAACAGCAAACCAGCAAATAAAAAGGATTAAAACATAAATATAATAAACTAACAACCCAAATTATGAAAATGCCAATTTTGATTGATGACTGAATCGAAACAATACAGAATACAAAAAGACCTACACGATCATTACACCAATTTCCTAAAATGCGGGTGATTCTAACCCTCAAAGTGCCGTCGTTTTGACCCTATACTAAGTGATACCGTTTCAACAAGCCATATAGAATGTTTTAG